CCGGCCCACGCCAGGCTGCCGTCCGGTGCGCAGCCGGAAAGTCAGAGAATAGCGCACACTGCATGTTGCACCTGTCCGGTATTTCCTGATTTTTTTACTGGACAGAGCAGCAAATACCAGACACCTGGCAACCCTATATGTAAATCAGTTAGGATGCTAGTTTGCATGTGATTTGCATATATTATAGACAGCCCCTTGGCTGACTGGTGAAGTGCTGGCAAAGGGAGGTGCCATTTACGGCTCTGGCGCCAGGGCGGCCTTCCCATGAGGTGCCAGAGTGGGGGGAGGTGCCACTAGGACCCAGAGGGTAGAAAATTGTGTGGGCTGCTGGGGCAGGTGTATCCCCTGCTCTGGATGCCCAGAGATGGGGGGCTGTGCTGGAGGAAGGAGGGCACAAGAGACATAAGAGGCAGGCAGGAGAAAAGGGGGCAAGTGGGGGGCTGTTGGGGCTCCCCCCCTCCTGCGCCGCCCTGTCTGGCGTAAGCTGCCCTGGGGCTCTGTGAGGCAAGTGGCTCCCCCCAGCCCCCCCTCGCTTGGCCTTCCTCTGGGGCGACGGGGCGGGGGGGCACTCACCCAGCACAGCACCTCCCATTGGTCACGCAGGGAATCAGCACCCGCTCCCCGCCTCTGGTGCAGGCCGCCTGCTGGGTCAGCCCCGTGTCCCCGCCCGGCCCTGGCCTCTCCTCCACGTGCTGCCCGAGGTCAGGGCCCTGCACGCTGGGGTCCCCCCAGGGAACCCCCGACCCTGCGCCCACCTTGCCTCAGCGACCCACGGCTGGGAGTCCTCTAGCCCCTGCCTCGGGGCAAAGTGCAGCCACCCATTGGCAAGGGGGGGGACCTGCTGCCTTCTGCTCCCCCCTCCCCCCACAGCCCTGGTACCCCCAGGCCTGGCCTCAGGCCCTGCAGCCTGGGAGCTCGCCCGGCCAGCGCTCCCCAGCCCCGCCTGCCTTCCCCAGCCCTGCTCTGTCTCAGGGAGCCCCCTGCTTCCCTGGCAGCCAGGTCCCTGCTGCGCCTCCATCCCCTCCCGCCCCAGCTGGGCCCTAACTGCCTCCGCTGTGGGCTGCCCTCCCCAGGGCTGGTGTTAACCCTTAAAGAGCCAGACGCCCCGTCACCGTGGTAACCCTCTAAGTCCCCCTCCCATTGTCAGCACCCCCATGCCCAGGACATGACCTTTCAGATCCTGCCCTTTCTCCCCCCCCCCCGCGGGGCCCAGGCCCTGGGGGATGAAATGCCCCGTG